GCAAATCAAACTCAAGACCTAATCACATCATTTGGCTGGGAACAATTAGACCACCCTCCATACAGTCCCGACCTAGCGCCGAGTGACTATCATTTGTTTCTGCATTTGAAGAAGCATCTGGCAGGGCAGCGCCATAACAATCACGACGAAGTCAAAACGACCGTTCTGCACTGGTTGTCTCATCAGGCGGCAACATTCTTTGAGGATGGAATACAAAAGCTGGTCCCACGATACGATAAGTGTCTCAATATTAATGGGAATTATGTAGAAAAGTAGTGTAAAATATGGGCTTTCACATAAATAAAAATTTTGTTAAAAATGTTTGCTTGTTTTTTTTATATTTGAAAACGGTACTTACTTTAAAAACACGCCTCGTATACAAGGGAAACTGAGTTTAAAAACTTTTTCTTGTCTTGATTAAATAATTAAACAGAAGTTTTATTATCATTTATAAACATTATTTTCTTTTATTTTTCAAAGTTTTTTTCATAGATTTGTTATGAAATAAAAATATTAACATTGATATATGTTTTATAACAATAAAACATAGTCACATTTTCAAAAAAATAAATAAGTAAAAAAAAAATTGGTAAGCACACCACACAGTAAGTGGAGGTTGTGGGTTCAAGTCCCATTCCGTGCTGGTTCTTTTCTTCCAAATGTTCTAAATTATTTAATAAATTATTACAGCTATTAAATTGAAAAAATTTAAAATATAAAGTTAAACAATCAATCAATTTTTATTGACTTAGAATCAATTAGAATTCTTCTAGGTTAATAAGAAACTCAGAAAAAATATTTTGCTGAGAATCTTATATGATATACATAATATGTTTTAGGCATACTGAAAATCTTAACTTTCTCTGGAACTATTGAACATGCATACAAACCCATTATGTATATAAATGTACCCTTATGGAATCTCATTATTTCGTAATAATGCAATCTATGTTTAATAGCTCTAATGAAAGATAGTGTGTTTCAGGCAAGTCCTTCCAGACTTGTATTTCTGATCCTAGTAGAAATAAAAATTGAAACTTTGAGGTATTAACAAATCTTAAAAATGCACTTTACGTTTACGGTTATTTTGATACGTTTGCCTTTGAATATCAAAATGATTTTGTATCTTTCAAACTTCAAATAGTAACACGCATTTAGCATGTCGCTTCGATGTAACTTCTGAATGTTCAATTTCAAATTTGATTACACTGTTGGATTCAACATTAGAAATGATGTGCCACTTGATGCAGATTACCATTTATACTTTACAAGTGTAAATTTTTACTTTTATTAATACTCAAATCTAAAAATTTCTACATCTACTAGGATTAGGAGTACATGTAGCTATGCCACAGAATTCCAGTACAGTATTTAGAATATTTTAATAATAAATTCTTGCAATATAAATAATTCATTATACTTTTAAACGTTTCATGTTTTATTTTAGGATCGATTGTATGCCCGACGTTTCTAGAGTATTTCAAACAAAAGAAAATTGCATCAAACGAAATTGCTGTTGGAACAGAATTAATTATTTACAATTCCCTTACTGCTACCATAAATTACCTACGACGCAATTTTATACAATAAAATATGAATCATTGAACAAATATTTTTTGGCTAAACTGAATGACAATAATTCTTCTTTACAAAAAGAACTTGAAATAAATGTTGTACAATGGAATAAAAATCATCTTAATATAGAAATTTCACCTAAAAATAAAACAAAACAAACTGAATATTTATTTTGCCAAAAAACCTCAAACGAATCGATAGAGCCAATGAAAGTAATCCATAAGGATAAAAATGGAAGGCTCTTCATAAAAGTACAAGATAATAATAGAAAGTTTTTTGATACCCAAATAGGTCCTATTATATTTAGAAAAGATTATGTAGAAATTTCTTCTTTTCTACCTTCTCATAACATTTATGGATTAGGACAATCAAAAAGAAGAAAATTTGGAATCGATTTACAAAGTACAACTCGATGGAATCTTTATAGCCGCCATAGAAGTAATGAAAGCAGGAAAATTAATTGGCCCGGTGTTCATCCATTCTATCTTTGTATGGAAACTAATGGTCAAGCTCACGGAGTGCTCGTTGAAACCACTCGCCCAATAGAAATTCAGGTAAATGCTGGTCCAATCGTGACTTTCAGGATAATAGATGATAAATTACGACTTCACTTTTTCTTCGGACCATCTCCTGCCGAAGTGGTATCTCAACTGTTGGAATGTGTTGGAAAACCGTTATTCCCTCCCTATTGGGCATTGGGTCATCACATCTGTTATACAAACTCGACTATTGCTCAAGCTGAAGTAAAAAAATTGAGAAATAAAAAAGTGGAACTAGAATCTGTTTGTTTAATGAGTGATGAAAAATATCCTAGTGAATTAATTAATGATCTTCGTTCAAATGAACAGAAACTATTAATAATACAAAGTCCACATATTAATTACGAAAATTTTTCTTATGATTATTTTATAGTAAATTCTAACGTAACATCCGATCCTTTTGTTGGAACTGTTGATAATAAATCTGTAATTTATCCCGACTTTTTTGACCAAAACACGGTGAAGAAAACAATTGATGAATGTCTGAAAAATGACTTTGACGGTTTAATTTTGAGTTTAAATACTCCTCTAGATGAAAATAACAGTTCTTTAAAGTGCAAATTAAATAATAATTTCGCTCCTTATGATATTCAGTTAAGGAATCTTTCTAATGATACAGTATGTTGGGATTCTTTACATAAAGATGAAACACAACATTACAAAGTTCACAATATATATGGACATAAATACTTTGAAACCATGTGGAAATGTGCAAAATCTAAAAATAAAGCACGTCCATTCGTTATTAGTGCCTCTACCTTTTTGGGAAGCGGGAAGTTTGGCGGAAGTTGGGGAGGTCCTAATTTTGCCACTTGGGAAGATTTACAGCAAGGAATTGTAGATATGCTAGAATATAATATGTATGGAATTCCTTTGACAGGTGTTCCATATTGTGGATTTCAAGGAAATTTCACTCAAACATTATGTTCTCGATGGTTGCAAGTATCTGCCTTATCTCCTTTAATGATTGGATATCGAGAAAAAGATGAAATTCCGGTAGATTTAACGAAATCTAGCTTAACATCTACAGTTGGAAAGATGGTTTTACGTTTAAGATATTCATTACTTCCTTATCTATATACATTATTTTACAGAGCTCACTATAATAGAACAACTGTAGTAAGACCTGTATTTTTTGAATTTCCAACTGATACTAACACATACCATTTAAATGGGCAATATATGTTAGGATCTGCCCTTTTAGTATCTCCTGTGATTGTGCCCAATGTTGGAAAAATTATAGCTTATTTTCCAAGAGGTTGCTGGTATAGTTACTATGATGGTTCAGTTATAATTAGCTCAGGAGAACGTAAAACTCTATCGACTATTGAAAGTCACATCAACTTACATATGCGAGGTGGCCATATTATTCCTAGTCGAAGTGAAGGATTAACAGTGAGAGAGAGTCAAAGTAAAAGTTTTGCTTTAACAGTAGCACTAAAATGTGTAGATGATGGAGTTTTAGCAGAAGGAGAATTATTTTTCGATGATGGTGAATCAAATGATTACTCTTTAATGACTTATATGAAAGTTGAAGCATATCAAAATAACATTACTTTTATGGCCTGGCCAGAAGAAAAAACATTAACTTCAGATATTTCTTACGATTTGAAAATAATAAGATTATTTGGAATGATTAAAAAAGTAGAAAGCATTCATTGTAATAATAAATCTATTGATCTTCAAGATACTGAAAGTTATGAAAATCAATTTGTTATTCAAAATCTTCATTTGGATTTACGATCGATTGTTACCATTACTTTAGTTTTATCTGACTAGCATTTAATTATATGTAAATGTATGAAATTATCTGAGTGTCCTGTATCACACTAATTCTATCCCATCTTCCAGTGAATGGCCTCGTTACCTTCTAAAGCGGCTTTAATACAAATGGATAAACAAGCCATTGTCATTGGCTTGTTAAAGCGGCTTTAAATACGGCTGGATAATCAGGCAATTCACCCAATATTAAGACACAAAATACTATCTTTTAATAACAAAATGTAAAGCGTCAAATTATTTTTTGATGTATATTTAATTTAATAAGTTATATACATTATTTTTATACAAATTGGTTTAAAAGCACTTTTATAAACGAACTCGATTATAGTTGTAAATTAAATTCATTTTTGTTATATGTATAACATTATTTGTGTATATAAATAATATTAAAACCAAATTATATCAGGCTATATTATTACTAATTAAATGCTAAGTAATTTGGCACTAGAGGCAGACGTTAGGCATCATCTCTTGCTAAATTTAATAATTATAATAAATTAATATTTTAATAATTAATTTGTTTATAAACGATATTATTATTAAATAGATGCCAATCTCAGTATAGTGTGTAAAATAAGTAAATAAAAATTATATCTAAGCCTTTGGTATTAGAATACTCCTTATATTTTTAAAAAATATATCTATTCAAACTTTAAACTGAGAATTTTAAAATCGTTGAACATTCGATTTTAGAATTCAAATTATTCTATTCATATAAGTTTTATTCTTCTATGTATTTCTGTGATATAAAATGGATGCGACTCAAAGACCTGTTGTATTTCCACCAGAATTCGAGCGTTATGCTGAAAAGCATAATATTTTTCAGACATTTCAGTTATATTTAGAGCGTTTAATATTGGAAAGACCCGAAGATCCTCTCAAATTCTTACATAAACTGCTGACTTCCAGTATTAGTGATGCACCCAAAATAATCGTTTTTGGGCCTCCTACTAAACAAAGAAGGTTATTGTGTAAAGAATTGTGCAACATTTTAAATGTCGAGCACATAACTTTGGAATTATTAGAAGAAAATGCGAACAAAATCGAAGCTTCCGAGCAAATTGTACCGAAAGACAAACATGCGAGAAGAGTAAAAATTAAAAAAATGATCAGCCCACCACGCCATAAATTAAAAAAAGTTCATCTTTCATTCTTCAAGACTGACGAAGCTGATACTTCCACTGAAATAATCGAGACCAGTCAGGAAATTCCAGCAGAAAGTAAGATATTAATCGAAGAAGAAGAATCAGAAAAGTGTTATGCACGTTCAAAGTTAAATGATGAAATCGAAGCTGAAGAAGATATAAACTTGGAAAAAAATCTTGAATCAGTTGTAGAAGCTAAAACTGAATTAGAAGAGCAAGAAATAAATGAGGAGGAGATAAAAATCGATGTAAAAGAGAAATTATTATTATTACAAGATGATGAAGATATTGAAGAAACAACAGAATTACAAGACGAAGCAGAAAATGTGGAAGAAGAACAGAAAATTGATAATGGAAATGTCGGAATAGATGTTGAGATGGAGGATGAAAAAGAAATGAACTTATTAGATGAAGACAAAGATCAACTTCAGGAAGAATCTGAAACATGGATAGAGGAGGATACAAAATACGAATTAGATTTGGAAGAAAGTGAAATATTAGATGCAGATCTAGATAAACACGAAGAAATTATCGGTGTGTTACCAGAAACGGATTCGTGTAATAAAGAATTTGTGAAAGAAAAGTATCTTAACACAGAGAAATCCAATTATTTTGAAAGCTTTACGAAAATATCACAACACAAAATAAAATCTGATGATGATAAATATTCATTATCTGATAAAGAAATAACTTTGAAGGAGAGATCGAAACTCGTAATTGAATTAATGAAACAAATTGAAACACGAGCATGCAGAGAGCATGGATGGTTAATCGAAGGATTTCCGACGACACGCTCGGAAGCTAAAACACTTCAACAGTGGGCAGTTTTTCCAAATCATGTTGTCGTACTTAACTGCCCTTCAGATTTTAATGAGAGAATATCCGAGAATAGCATTATAAATAATAGAGAGTGGTTATTTTATAGAGAAGAATTCACGGGTTTGTTAGATTGTTACAAAAACTACTATTGCCGAAATTTTAGATTAGACCAATCTCTACAGATACTTTCTAATAATATACTAAAATTTATATCTAGTCAACCAATTTCTAACACACCATTTACACCACGTATTTTACTTCTTGGTCTCCCCGGTTGCGGCAAAACAACACAGGCAATGTTACTCTCGGAAAGATACGACGTAGTTAATGTAGATATGAGAGATTTAATATATCAAACTATAAATCGAGAAATTCCGCTTGGTGAATCTCTTAGATATTGCTTACAAAATAACCTACCAATCATAGATCACTTAAAAGCAGAAGCTATCGCTCGAAGGATGTCTTTGAGGGATGTTTTAGTGCGTGGATACGTATTACATGGTTTTCCCGATACCTTTGAACAGATGTTAGAACTGAACAAAGTAATGGAATACAGAATGCCAAACAGAGTTATCGTAATTGACGTATCAGAAAATACATCATGCGACAGATTCATTCATCGCAGATTCGATCCGATTAACCATAAATTTTACCATTTATCAAATCCACCATCAACTGATATTCAACTTCTGCAACGGCCGGAAAACGGATATGATTTTATTAAAAAGAGAATTCAAACATACCGAAATAACATTGAAAAACTTGAAAATTTTTTCCGGGGTTTTGTTATTCATATCGATGGTGAGATGAACATAGAAAATGTTTCCGAGGCCATTCTTAGTGCTATTATTCATCCTCTCCCTAAAAGTCACCACTCCCAGATATCAACCTGTAAAATCTTTAATATGGAAAGATTATGTAAAGGATTCAACTGTGATTTAACTTTGTAAATCTTTCTTACATTTTAAATTATGATTTTCATTTGTTTTAATGTGTCTATAAAAATTTTTTAATTTATCAATCAATTAATTTCCACTAACTGGAACTAAATTTTGAATATATGATTTGTACTTGATTACATTTACCATTAAACAAACTGTAAAGTAAATGCTTGGGGTGTATTTTGGTTAATTTAATTACTCAAATTAGTTTTGAAGTATTTAATGGAAAATGTTTTTTTTTTTAAATATAAGATGTCCATAAATCTAGAACCATAGGAGTTATGTTTATCTTACAAGTTAATGTCATGCTTTACCTATAAAAGAATAGAGAGAGTAAAAAGGAACATTTTCAAGTTACTTTGATGGTCAGTCAACAAGAAACAAAGAGTTTAACAGGCTGCACCCAGAACACTATGTGACTGATGAAACTCTAAAGCAACTTCTCACTAACTGACCATCAAAATAACTTAAAACATGGCACTGAGTAAAAAGGAATGAATTCATCTGTAAAAGAATAAACAGAGACCAGCATAATTCCTTTGGTTCCAACTGTATTATGGAGCTAATTTCAATCATAAAAAAACAGTTTCTTCAAATGAAAAATTTTCAATAAAAATATCATCAATATAATATAAATAAGTCAATTTCTAACAATAAAAAAATTAAAAATTCTATTTTCCACTAAAATTAATATAAAATAATTTATTGTTTAATTTTGAATATTTCTTAACATTATATATTCTAATGCAAAGTAAAATGTCTTCATAATGTATGAAAATTTTAAAATTTTCACAGAATTTTTACCACAGAGTAAATCATTTTTTATTTATTTAGAATTGTAAATATTCTAAAAAAATAAAGAAAATTTAGTCAATAAGTTTTGGTATTTCATTTTATAAAAATTATATTCTATTAACAGAAGTAACATTATTAGTTATAAAAAAATAATGTCATTTCTGTTAATTAATAAAGGATTTCACTTATTTTCTATTGTTCTAATTTTATAAAAAGCTTTAATAAATTTTTCTATTTTTAATTCTTTATAAAGCTTTTGAAAATAAATTCTCTTAAAATATTTTTAATAAGTTGTCAATTACTCGTAATTCCTAATAAATAAATAAATAAAATAATCAATGCACATAATTTTCCATCAGCTTCATTTATATATGTGCTATTTTTAAAAAATGCTTCTCCACATTACATTTTCTTAATATAATTTATATCTGCATTGTTTTTGGAAATGGGCTGAATGTGTCATTTGTTATTCATAAAAAAAAAAGTTATTATTAGAATATTAAAGAATGATTTCAAAACTGAAAGTATAATTTCTCTTAAATTTAAAAAGAATGCAGAAATTTAAAATAAGAATGTAATTAATTAAACAACTATCCTAAAAATATATATATACATTTATACAGTATTGTCTTATGTTGAACTAGCTGCATCATTATGGATGAAATGCAACTGTCAAATAAATATATCTTCGTTAAATTTTAAATTAATTAATTAGAAAACTATACAATTTTTGAGCATTATAAAATAGTTGAGAACAAACGAAATACAGATAATAATAAAGCTTAGAAATACATTCCAACAGATTATTAATAAAGTTTTTTTTTTAAAAAAATTTGAAATAGCAATTTTTAGTTATTATATTTGTTTGAATGAATGATTTTAAACTCAGTTATTTTTATCAGTTAGAAAATTTGAAGATACAATTATTTCCAAAAACTAATCAAAATAAATTATTTTGAAAGTATTAAAATTCTAAAAAAAAACAAGTTACTTAATTTTTCACATTTAAGGTTTAATTAATTTATTCGTTCTTTTTTTTGTTAATAAAAAGTTGAACCAGACTATCTTTATATAAAATTCTCGTCATTTCACTCATCTTTATTTAACGGTTGTGAATGGTAATAAAGTTTCGTATTCAAGCAAATTAAAAAAAAAAAAAAGAAGAAGAAAACTGATGCCAACATTTATCTGAAATTCTTATTAATTTTGGTAGATTTTGTTTAAATATTGTAGTATTTTCAATGCTAGATAAGAAAGCTCATTTGGTTGACTGTAATTGTAATAAGAAGCAATAATGAAATTTAAACTTCTTTTCACTTCTGAATGTTAAGGAATTGTCTATTGTTTTGAAATAACCATTTTAAACTAAAATGTTGAGCTGCTAGGCTGGTCCATAACACAGGCGTTGAGAGCATTAACAAATTCCTAGCATGTATACACCATCACGGGTGTTGGAAACAAGCACATCAAAACTGGAAGTTTCATCAGCTTCAATCAATATGCCTCAGGATAAGGTGTCTTCACTCCAAGAGCCAATTTACATCTGGACATAGGCTTCCTGATGAACAATCACAATGTGCAGGGCATTGCAAATATGCTGTCTTTTCAGCACACAAAATTAATCACTCAGCATATAGTTTTCTTTTTATGCCATTTTATTAACAATGGTTTGATGTAGTGTCGAAAGCTGAGCAGTCCACTTGTCCAAGGCATTATACCGCGCTGCACCATGCGTTTTCTTATCTAATTCTAGCACTTGATTAACTTGGTCGATTCGACCTTGAATGGTACTGTAGAATAATAAAAAGCAAAAAATGTATTAATAATTTAATAAAAATCACCAATTAATTAACTTATATGTATATATATCTCTCTAAAATTTAATTTACATCTCATAACTTATCATTTGTGTTCCCATAAACTTCCCATAAGTGAATTTTTGTCATTAACATAAGATTTCAGTATTGAAAAATGTCACTAAAACAAAATTATGCATATTGGAAATGCAAATGAAACATTTCTCTAAAAAATGTCTAATAATAAATCAAAACATTGATTTTTGTGTTATAGACATGTTTGATATTTCATATCATCATCAATCAAACTTATATATATAATCATCATAACTATAAAACAATTACAGTTTAATTTTTAATATTTTTTCTAAATAAAATATTCCATTTTTTAAAACCCTTAACAATTATTTTGTAGATCTGCTGTGTTGTAAAAATATAATCATAAATCTTTACTTCAGTACAGTAGAACCTCAATTAACAAGCATAATTCATTGCAGAATCTTACTTTTAATACGAAACACTCGTTAAGCAAAACAATTTTTTCCATATAAATTAACATAAAATATGATAATGGCGTTCCATGAAAAAAAAAAATACTCAAATATTTTATATATAATGTTTATTCAAAGAAAATGATACAATATATATATTGTTAAGGGGTGTGAATCAATCATTATTTCTTCTAGCACAGAATGAATCAACCAGGAATGCAAATTTGATTTGCAGAAAACAAAAAAAAATCATGGATAATATGTCTGATAAACATGCCAAACAATACCCGACTATCCCACTGCTAAAAGGTTAATTNTATTGTTAAGGGGTGTGAATCAATCATTATTTCTTCTAGCACAGAATGAATCAACCAGGAATGCAAATTTGATTTGCAGAAAACAAAAAAAAATCATGGATAATATGTCTGATAAACATGCCAAACAATACCCGACTATCCCACTGCTAAAAGGTTAATTAAAACACAGCACTGTACCTCTTAGATAATTGAAGAATTATATAAGAAATGTAAATTTGTCCCTCAAAGATAAACTTGAATTTGTTGCTAAAGATGAGTTTATGAAGTTTTAACTGTGCAGCAGCATTGCATTAACAATTTTGTATAAGATTCTGAAAATCAGTGCACATTGGAATGTCAGCAAAAAAAAATGTGAACATGATTTGCAAAAGAAATTGAACTAGGAAAGATACCTTTACTAAACCAAAGCTTCAAAGATATTGAAGTTCATGAAAAAAATGCACCTGTTAATGGACAAACAATGCATCAAAAACAAAATAATCAGCTAAAAATATGGGAAAGTTTTTAATGCAATAATGGGTAATTGAATTCTGGTAGCAAAAATGAGAAACAATAAGTACAGATGCACTCGTGATAAAGAAAACCCTCTGTATCAGCTAAATTGTGGATAAAAACAGAACAATCAAAAATTATTGTTCAATACTCATCAAAGGCATACTCTACAATGTGTACAAAATAACACTTCATTTCATGCTATGACTGATCATACTTATATGTTTAAACCACCAAAGAAACATTACAATTCTTTCTGTGTTAATAATATGCCAGATAAATTACTCAATAATTAAAAAATATAATAATAAAGTTTATTTAATGTGCTTTAAATTATTTAATTCAGCAAAACTAGAATTTCCATTAACTGTGGCCTAACTACTTTCACAGGTAACTAGCTTATAGTGACAATGATAACACTGTCACTGTCACAAGTTAGTCACCAAAGTTATTGCAAAAGCAACACTTACAGTACATAAAAAATAAGATTTTATATTCAACTATTTCTCTATGGCATTTTTTATATGTTTCCAGTACACCTCATTATTAATGTATTAATAAGCTTGACCAGTCTTGTTTTATACCTAATAGCACGCTTCACAAAAGCAAATCAAATAATTTAAAATTAATTATTATTATTATAATTCATTATAATTATAATTATTATTATAAAATTTAATTTAATATAATATACTAACCAGGTAGTTTTTACTATAACTCATAGTGACTGTAAATGAAAAGGTTTAGTTCCCTTTTGCTTATGCGCATGGATATGCACAATGAATGGATTGAGCAGAACATAACACTTAGGTAGCTCCTAAGCCTAACATTGGAAATATCTAGCTGACTTAAGTTATAAGCCTAATATCCAAAGTCTGAATCAAATGGATCGACGGAACATCTCATTATACTAAGTAACAAAAGTGAAATCATTGCGCATGTGCATGGAAATCGGACAGACGAACAAAACGCTTTACCACTACCATGAATTGTGCTAAAAATTATTGTTTACTGGCTGGTATCAAGCTCATCAAATATTAAAATGATACTATCACTAACAGTTGCAAAATTAAATGCAATTACTTCATAAAATCTATAATCTATCTATCTCAAAATTTTCTTATGCCACCGAATAACTGCTGTATTTAATTAACAGTAATCATGATAAATTGATGATTGTCAATTTAACAAATCAACAATCATCAACTTACCATGCCAACATGATCTCTTGCTTGATCTATATTTCAAAGAAAACTAACACTTTATGCATAATGATTTTTCTTACTAGAAATGTACAAAAGAGATTTTGAGAAAATGAATAATAAAAGTTATACATATGAACAAATGATAGTGATACTTATGTTATTATTTTATTGATTTATATTAACTAAAAGCCATACACAATTGTTGAAGTACAATAAGATGTAGAAAAGTTATAGTTCTGGCTTTTATATTTGAAAGTTCCAGATGAGAAAATGCAATTAATATTGATTATTCTTAGTTAGTTAATATAGTATATCATTCGGATCATTCTAAAATCAGTTTAATTGCATTGTATTTTGCAAACTGATTAAATAAACTTGATGCTATTGTTAATAATGTTAAAAGTATTTCATAAAATTAAATTATAATTAAAATTCCATAAATAATTCTTATAAAATTTTGATATACTTACTTGTCCAAAATACAAGACACTAATAAATTTTCAACTTCATTTGCATCAATATTTAATTCCTGAAATATATCAAAATATATCATATTTTTCTAAATTTTTGAGTAAAATCTTATAATTATAAATTGTGTCTTAATAATTTTATGATTTGATTATAAATTTTAAGACAAAATCAAAATTCACACAATTAAATCTGTAAGTACTTTTACATAGAAAATACAGGATATCCAAAAATCATCATACATAAGAAAATTGGACTTTACAAACTGTCATTGTGGACCCATGGCATAGCCTCAAGGGTCCTCACACTTTAACCCTTGATTTTTCTCTGTGAAGCACCTGAAGGCTTTGCTGTATTGGTAAAAGATTCAAAACATGCATTGCCTAAAGGAAAGCATTAGAAGTTTAGAAGCTTAACATCTTGTGTGTTAACACAAGTTCAGCTTGAATGGGAAAGACACAAACCACTACTTATTACATATACTGTTTTAAAACTTTTGCAAATTTAAAAAATACAGTAGAGCGTCGTTTATCCGAATCAATTGGGGACTGGGGTTGTTCGGATAACTTATTTTTCGGATAACCAGTTATGTACGAAAAAATATATTAATTTATCCCGTGTTGAAATTTTTCTCAATTGCATGTCACTTTGCGTTGAATTTTCGTTGATGTTAAGCCTAACAAAGGCTGTTGTATCGTTAAAAATTATTTTTTTTATTTTGTACAAACAAAATAAATATATTGAAAAATATAAAAACAATAAAAAATTATACTTCAGAAGTTATTTTGTATGAAAAACGTAAAATATTTGAGTAGCCAAAGACATAGCCAAAGATTACAGTGCCACAGCACTGGTGAAAATTTAAATTTGTCGACTGGAATTCCTTCGGATAACCGACCTTCGGATAAACGACGCTCTACTGTATAGACATTGTGTATTTGAATGAGAGTTACAGAAAATAATGATAAAAGAGACCATACACAATGAAAGTTAAATAGATAACTTTAATGTTGTTATGAATTCTAAGTTTTTAATTGGAAAATAAAACAGTCTATATATGTGGAAATATCCATATCTATTTAAAACAATAGAATTTTTAACAAAAATTTGTTCTTAATATATAAAATTTTTAATGAAAATTTGTTTTTGCTTTAAATAGAGATTCAAAAAGAATGTCCATTGTGCATATCTATTTAATATTTGTCATGTAGATTATTGTCTGTGTGTTGGTTAGAGATTTAACTGTAAAATAAAAATATAAAGCAATTTCATTTTGCCCACAATAATAAAATAATAAAAATAATAATACTAAAATACAATAGTGTATTAACTATATTAATGAAATCAATTCCAAATATTCCAAACAAATTCCAAATATTTTGGACTTCGAAAAACACAAAACACGGTTTCGAAAACAACATCCAAATATTTTATTATCTTGTAATCAATTATCTAAGACATTCTATGATCTAGCATAGAATGCAAATATCAGGAATGTCTTAACTATACAACTGCTCAAACATGATAATATTTAAATGCAGCATTTCTTAAATTATAGTAAATTTCTATTTTTTGATGACCATCTTATGACATTATGTTGTTCAAAATATCAAGAACAATTTATAATATTGAAACTATAAAAATATCAGAATTTAATTTACAATGACTTCTTGATAATGATTTTCCAGTAACTAATTATACCGCGAAAGCAATAGTTTAGTAATATTCATTATACTTCTCACTATGTAATTTCACCATAATGTAATTGTTTGTGACTACATTTAAAAAATGATACAGAATAACTTTCTAACTGAAACATTAAAAAAAAAAAATTTTTTTGAGTAAGCAAATTAAAAAAAAATCTAATTGGAAATTTATCTAATGATTACTTTGTAAATAATCTATTATGTTCAAAAATCTAAGTTATTACTAATTTTTCTAATATATTTTCCACTAGTTGTTTTATATACATCTACTAAAATTTTGCATCATTCATCCATCCTTTATAGCAGTGACCAATTGTCTACAGTGCTAGCCAGTTGTGATATAAGACAGTAAGAGTATTAATATGCATATTCTAATTTCATATACCATATTTGTTCTAATAAACAGAGAGCACTGTCTATTAATTTTTTCAGTTGGTAACTGTGCTGTTTATTAGAGTTTGCTTACTATTAGAGGGTGACTACTATTTACACTCTTTGGGAATTTGATATGACTGTTGAAATAAATCCATAACTTTTTCTATATTATTTACTATTATTATTCAAGTAAAAATGAAACACACAATGCACTCTCTTTATTTCAAACATAACAACATTAGATACTATGCTATTTTTAGTTTAAAATAAGTATTATCTTCCTCCAATAGACACTACCCTTACTATTAGAGTATGGTGTCTTTCTTGCACTGTTTATTAGAATAACTACAGTACTTCGAAAGTAAATAATATATTTTAAAATATATGAATATTCTAACCTTTGAAATAAAGGGTATGTGTATGCGAGTATATGGCTTGATCAACTTGATCAACACTTGCGTACGTATGTTCCTAAGCAGATCTGAAATTTAAATTAAAACAAGTTAATACTTCATTTAAAAATTTAAAATATGTTCAAATTTTGAAGCTATGAAATTTCTTTTAAATAATGAAATTTTAAACAATTTTTTCTATCTCCAAATATTTATATAAAATATTCACATCATTAGAGATTAAAAGATGAGGATGTTTCACTTTTTAAAAAGTAAAAGATAATCATCATCTAATATCTTGGTAAGCTATAAAGAATATTTTAAAATACTGCTTTTAATTCACAATTTTCCTTTATTCAAAAATATCATCTAGGGGCTGTCCATAAATTATGTCCACATTTTTCATGAAATTTTTTCTTCCCTAGTTTGTCCAAGTTTCTGTAACTCCCTCCCCTCTTCAGACCACCTTAAAACCTTTATCACTTTACAAATGATAGATGCCGTAAGTTAAAAACAAAACATACAAGAATTTTGAAATAAATATAATAAAATGCATAAACTGTATAAAATTCCATGAAATAAATAGGATGTCCATTGAAGATCAACCAACCCCTCCCCCTTGTCTGACTTATTTTAATGATACAATAAACTTTGGAAAAATTTATTTTCATTTTTGTTTTTGTAAATCTACTTTAATTGATTACTAAAGTTCAGTAATATACTCATTATTATATGATAACAAATATACTATATTGGCAAATTTATAACTAAAATTTGAAGTAACCAATAGTATGCTACTGTATGATTACATATACATTGAAAACATTTCCCAATTTTAACAGATACATGCTGATAACTGTTTTAACCTTTTCCATAACAACTTTTTTTTGATAAGATCAAATTTCAATTGTTGTAAGTTACTAAAAAAATAATTCAATATAATTTGTTGGTGTTATATTAAAATTATATATAGTAATATAAGCACAAGAACTATAAAAATTAACAAGTATTGTCAATTAGGAATATTTATTAAAATGTATTCATTTTAATATTGACATGTTTGTTTATATTAATTATTAGAAAACTATTTTTCACAAACATACAATTAATATTTAATATTATGTTATAAACAAAACAAAAATAGTTAAACTATAGTCTGATGTGACAAATGTACTTTATTTTAAAATAAAAATTAAATAAAGCTATTTGGCTTAAAATTATTCTTTAGCAATAAATATAACAGACATGATAATAATAACAGATAATTTACCTTCAATATGTTCTCTTATAAAAGGATCATCCATTATGTTTCTTCTGTTTGTTTTTAATATTGTTTCAAACTCATTAATATCATTATTTTGATAGGCACTGTAATAAATATTAAATTATTTTCCACATAATACACTCTACATTTAAAGTAAAAGCTATATATTTTACCTCACTAAATTTGTCATTGCTAAAATTTCTGGATCATTCTTATATGGCTTGGCTTCCTGAGAATCAAAAGGATTAATACCAGATTTCATCAGCATATTGGCCAAAACTAGATATTTTAAACATGTTGTTCTCCTAAAATTAAATAAATTTTTAAATATTTTTTAATGAAGAGTAAATAGCTGATATGCTTATAAACATTTAAAACTTACAAATTACAAATTTATAAATGACAATTTCAAATTTTAATATTTTAAATCATCACATTTTTTAATATCATCACTATTTTTTTAATAAATTAAAAACCTTCAGATTTACAAATTAATTTGTTATATTCTCTAATTCATATCTTAATTCATAAATTACCTTATTTTAGAATAAACAATTAAATGGAATAAAACTAATAAATTCTAAATAATTCTGTTTTATATTTCATTTCTCTTCAACATTTTTCACTTTATCAAAATCAGAAATTATGGAAATAACAAAATATGAAAAACATATTCAAATAGAATTGCTATATGTTTCTATCTGTAAAGCAGACAGAATACAGTTGACCCCCCTATAACACGGTAGATATGTTCCGGCTTTTATGAATCCAGCTTCTAGGAGTCCTGCCAATCACAGCCCGGCATGTATGCAGTTTACGGACTACGGCTGTTTGAAAGGTTTCTTCCATAAAATTAACCGATTCTAGACTAATTCGACTCAACATTTCCAAAATACGTATATTTTTTTTGGAAATAATCCGTAAAAACTACGCTATAAACAAAAAATTGTAGGATTACTTACTAAGTGTGCACCATTCGACATCGCCGTTGCTCAAGCTTGTTTTCATCGCGGAACAGCGCACCAAACCACGGCCGCGATTTCTGATGTTATTTTTCTGCGAAAATTTCGTTGAACTTTGGAGACATCATTAATATAAATAATTTTAATCGCCGTTGAATAAGAAATGTTTCTTTCACAAGAAATGTATAAAATTACAGTGCTGTATTATACTTACGGTATCTAATTTACATACTGTACAGACGATAGCTCGCCTAAACTCTCCGTAGCGTGGCGCTAGATGGCGAAAATTTTTGGGAATAATCCACATAAACTATGCTATAAACAAAAAATTGTAGGATTACTTACTGAATGTGCACCGTTCGACTATGCCGTTGCTTAAGCTTGTTTTCGTCGTGGAGATTGTCATCGAATGGTGCTCGCATGCTTCCCGATAAATTATTTTTTTTGCAAAAAATTTGCTGAACTTTAGAGACATCATTAATATAAATATAATTTTTATGGACGTTAAATAATAAATGGTTTTTACTAGGTCCGCTGCTCGTTTAAACTCAGCAGTTTGTGCAATTCTGTCATGGCACAAGTCAACGATGATGTTTTACTGAATTATAGGAGTTTTTTTAGCATGTTTGTATGAATACTGTCACAATTTTTTCACCGTGATATAGGAATCCGAACTATAGGAACCCATGTTATAGGGGGGGGTTGACTGTATTCTCAAAAGAAATGATTTTTTTTTAAATTTACAAAACTACTAAAGAATAATTATCAAAAATAAATAAAAAATTATGTAGAGAATATACATAATTGAAATGCTTTCAAGAAAATTTTTTGACAAAATTTGCAATGATAAACATATAAAATGTATTACCATATTTCCATGAGTATTTTTTGCATATGCATTTCCAAGAAATGTTTTTATGGAAAACAAAATATGAGTGGAAATGCAAGACTTCTCATACTGAACTGTTTGGTGTAGGAGATAGGACATGAGTCGCCAACAAGAATTTTTACAGTAGACAGGCTGTTTTGTTTACCCTCACTCCCTTGTATAGGCTTAACAGTATGTTGTACTTGTGCATTTCCTCATAGCCTCCAGCAAGTATTGTTGTACTTGCTGGAGGCTATGAGGATGTAGAATAGGAGCAGTTGCTAATTATGATGCTTTATAGCACTCTAGTAGGTTCCTTACTATCATATCAAGTAGAGTTAACTGCAACTTTGCGAGATGGCAAGAAAAAATAACAGTTTTACTGCAGAGTATAAAATTAAAGTAATCTGCTTTGCAGAACAGAATGGAAATCAAAAGGCCGAACAAAAATTCAGTGTCATTGAGGCAGTTGTTTGCTATTTGCATAAACAAAAAGAAGCTCTAAGCAATACAAAGTCCAATGTGAGGACATTCCGTGGTCCCAAGAAGGAAAGTATCCCCTACAAAGAACTGTTACAGTATGTTGAAGAAACATGCAACAATGGCTGTGCTGTAACACAATATGTTACAATCAAGAGCTCACAATATTGCTGACACAAAATATTTCTCTATGTAGAAGAACTACATTTAAGCCAAAGGTTGCCTTGACATTTTATAGACCAGTGTGTCTCTTTTCAGATTTATCATATGGAAGCGGGAAAAACAATCGTATTTGCTCTCCAAAATAGGGAATGCAGATCAGACACCTGCGTTTTTCGATATGCCAACAAACACTACTGTGGAAAAAGACGGTTCTCAATCAGTCATCATCAAAACAACTGACTGCAAGAAGCAAAGACACACAGTAATGTTAGCCGTGACTGCCGATGGACAAAAATTGCCACCATATGTGATTTTCAAAAGAAAGACCTTCTTTATTAAAGGGTTTATGGGTCCATTTAATTTTTGAACTTACTGCAGTCATCATTAATTTAATTTTTAGAGTGTACACATCTATAAAAAAATGGCTGCATACTGTTTGATGTGAGAATTCAAAATATTTGGAATATGTATACAAAGTTTTTAAAATACTGTATTAAAACTATCTTATAAAATCATGACTTCTTGTAAGAATAAATACTGATATAGTCTACTTTCAAAAATAATTTGCATATTTTTCAAATCTCAATTTTCAATTAATAAAAAATGGCAAAAAGTGTGAAAAATATGCATGGAAATACTAAAAGTCAATATAAACTAAAACAGAAGATAAATAATAATTGAGAAATATTATAAAAGACAAGAAAAGATCAAGAATTACAACTTTTTTATTTAAATATACTAGATTATTTCTTAAATAACACAAGTCATGCTGCTTATCATATCATCCAGAAGTCTCATCCTGCTACAGTAAAGAATGACTTAAAAAAGTTTTAAAAAACTAAGAGTTTTGTGCAAATTTACAATTACAGTAGAGCATTGATTATCTGACTCAACTGGGGACTGGGGTTGGTCGGATAATTGAAAAGTCGGATAACCGAAAAGTATGAAAAAATCCATTATTAGTGTAGTATATTATTATATCCCATGTAATTAGTATATTAGTATATCGCTATTAACCTACTTCGCGTTGAATTTTCATCGATGTTAAGCCTAACAAAAATTTTTTAAAATAATAATCGTCGCTATTGTATCGTTAAAAATTAAAAAATTAAGCCTCGTTTAAATACTGGCTCCCTTTCATGGTCGATCCAGTGTTGCAAGCTAAAACACGTAAAAATAATATTAAAGTAGCCAAGACATAGCCAAATATTGTAGCGCCACATCACTAGCGAACATTTGAATTTGCCGACTAAAACGTGGACGGTTAATCAGGGGTCGGATAATCAATGCTCTTCTGTATTAGGTAATTATCTTATTTTTAGCTTACACTTAATATTTCTATAAGTTTTTATTAATTATTGCTTCAATTCTTCTACTTCCCTTGTTATTATGGAAAATACAACTTTAATTTTTATATTAATGAATCTAAATATTTTAATCAGGATTAAACCTTTTCAATACATTTTTCTGTTGCATTTAAATAGCACTTTTTTTCTGGCATACCAATGGAATAGTTTTTTGAAAAATTGTGCTTTATTCAAATTAGAGTTGTTGTGATCTGACAATGAGGCAAAATGTCTTGAAAAATGCTTAATCTTAATAACAATACTCTGACTACTTAATATTTTAGCATTTCTATACTGTTCTGATGAAGTCATACATATATCTGAACTATTATTATTACAAATTTGCAAATTTAAATGATATACATTTAAAAATGTTCAAAAAATTTATAACATATTTATTAAGTAATTTTTTTATTAATTGTTCTATGTCAAGGCTAAGTTTTATTTATTTTAATAAGAAGATTTTTAAATTTAAATGGAAGACAGTATATTTCACAATTTAAAATATGGAAGTAACTAAGTCATCTTCATTCTTCCGTCTTGTCCAGTCGCTCGGAATAAAATGGTTTTTCTTCACAGGGAGAGTATAGAGGCAATACCTTTGCAATATTATGTAAAACAGTTTAAAAAATTCCATGATGATAAACTATAACATTTTAATATATATATATAATAATTTCAAATTAAAATGGTAGACGGTATAATTGAAAGCCTCCTCTATCATATGCCTTATCATCAGAGAATTTTTTTAAACTCTTTTACATAATTTTGCAGAGGCATAGCCTATAATAAAAAAAAATCATCATTGTGAAAAAAAACTGTTTTGTTCCTGGTGATTGGACAAAATGGAAGAATGAAGATGACTTAGTTTCTTCCATATTTTAAATAAGATTTTTGTTTTAATTCTGCAACCTTAAAATATAAAACATAATTAATTCACTTATAACTAAGATCCAAAATGAACAAATGATAAATTTACAACAGATATAAAAATTCTTTACCTACAGTTTTCTGAATTTTAATCTATAACAAACTATATTGCAATGTTATAGAATTTAATCAATTTAATAATATATAACTTACCTAGGACTACCTGATTCATCGTAATTTTTAAAAGCTTCAAAAAAATCTGTATGAGCTTTCTCATATTCACCTTCCCTTAAATGCATCTTTCCACCACATTCTACAGGAGGGGAAAAATCAGCATTTCTCAAAATATTTCACTAAATTTTAAGTGTATATACATATATACCCTCACTCCCTTGTATAGGCTTAACAGTATGTTGTACTTGTGCATTTCCTCATAGCCTCCAGCAAGTATTGTTGTACTTGCTGGAGGCTATGAGGATGTAGAATAGGAGCAGTTGCTAATTATGATGCTTTATAGCACTCTAGTAGGTTCCTTACTATCATATCAAGTAGAGTTAACTGCAACTTTGCGAGATGGCAAGAAAAAATAACAGTTTTACTGCAGAGTATAAAATTAAAGTAATCTGCTTTGCAGAACAGAATGGAAATCAAAAGGCCGAACAAAAATTCAGTGTCNTATTTATTTATTTTTTTTAATAATTTATTTATTTATTTATCAGAATAAGACTAATAAATTAAGAATCCATAAAAAGTTAACAATTCTTTATTAAACTAAAACACAAAGAAGTATTGAAGTTTTATAATAGTATCTATTATTATAAAAACTTTATGCAAACTCTCAAAATAAGAAAGTATCAAAAATAATTAATGTATTTCTTTGTGATATGTCAAATATATATAAATTTTGTTATGTGAATTCTTGATCTTTGTAATCAAATGAATTATTATTGAAATTTCTTCTAGATCTTATATAATTATATAAGTGTAAAAATTATTCTATTAAACATCAAAAAATATAATTCTAAAAATAAACCATTTTTAAAATGATTTAACAAGTAAATAAAGAAATCGTTCTATTCCAACTTAGTAAATCATTGTTGTAGATCTCTTGAACAATCAAGAAATAAATATTTATTTTATGTTTTTTTCAGAATCCATATGCATTTTGTCTTGTTCTGGCCTCCTCAGTGAATCGACCCTATTGTTTTAAATTTATTTTTATATACAGTAATATCCTGAACTTATGCGATAGGTGGACCAAGCGATAACCACATAAGTCGAATTCACATAAGTTGGGGTATAGTTTCGCATATAAATACATACAAATTTTTAACTGGGGTCAGAGACTAAAGAAAACAATAATTTAGAAAAAAATGTTTAATAAAATCTTAGATAATACATATGTATAACAAATTATATTATTAAAATCGTAAACCGAAGTTATTTTGATGTAGAAGATTTCATAAAATCTAACAAATTCGTCTGACAGCTCAAAATTTTTTTCCTTCCGCAAATTTCCTCATAGCATGCTAATAATTTTTTTTTATTTCTCAGTTTGTAGAAGAAATGCACTCTTCGTTAGAGTCTATATTTTCTAAAATTTGTAACCCCTTTTCAATTGAACTGAGGCCTCTGTCAAGTTTCCAACCGTCATTCGATCTTCTGATTGAACTGGGTCTAAAGAATCAAGTTCTTCAATGTCTTGCTCTTCCTCACGTATTTCTATGAGCTCATCATTTGTCAGCTTTTGATTGTGGGAATCCAGCAGTTCTTGAATGTCATTACTATCCACTTCTAAATTTATTTTCCTGGCAAGATCGACAACTTTTTCAATCACATTATCAATTTCGTCAGGCTCTGGCACTGATTCTGCCCGAGTTTCAGTGGTAAAAAAGAAGAACACAGTTTTTTCCAGATTCCATTTAAAGTTTTTTGTGAAACTTCATTCCAAGATTGTCCAATGATTCTCACTGCATGTAAAACATTGAATTGTTTCCAAAAGTCTTTAACAGAGAGCTCATTGTTTTGTCTCATAGCTTCATGCAGATGTGCAAACGATCATGTCATGTAATAAGCTTTGAATATTTTGATGACTCCCTGATCGATCGGTTGAAGCAAGCTGGTCGTATTTGGTGGCAAAAATACAACTTTCACATGTGGGTCAAAACTAGTTAAAGTTGCAGGGGGATGACCTGGTGCATTGTCGATTATTAGCATCACTTTAAATGAAATTTGTTTAGATTGGCAATAATGTTTGACTTCAGATATGAGGTGATGACCAAACCAGTCCTCAAAAAGGGAAGCTGTCACCCAAGCTTTACAATTCAACTTTCAAATCACAGGCAAGCCAGCTTTAAATTTATTTTTCAATGCTCTTGGATTTTCCAAGCGATAAACCAAGAGAGGTTTTAACTTACAATCAACGGCTGCATTTGCACCAACCATCACTGTCAATCAATCTTTGGCAGCCTTAAAACCTGGAAAGGTTTTCTCTTCACGCTCGATAAAAGTTCTTTTAGGCATCTTCTTCCAGAACAGGCCAGTTCTCATCTACGTTGAATATGGTTTGGCTGGTATAGCCACCTTCATCTATCATAGCTTAGAATTTCTCTGGATAGTAAGACGCAGCCTCTTTATCAGCACTTGCCGCCTCTCCACTTTCTGCAATGCTATGCCAATTACAGTGACTTTTGAATCGGGTGAACCAACCGTTACTAGCTTTAAATGCTTCATCTTTACCACCTCTCCAGCATCCTCTTTCAATCTCTCAAAAACCAGCTTAGCTTGAGAATACACCATGTTCTGATCAACAGGACAATTTTTCACATTTACTTGATTATCATGTCATAATTTTAACATTGTTTCCATCTCAGCAATAATACCATGACGTTTATGAATGATGCTTGAATTTAAAATTGAGCATTTTTTACAGCTTTGAGACTTTTTTCTTTACCTTTTATAATTGTTCTGACCGTCGATTCCGGTAGATCAAACTTCTTTGCCAATTCACAAATTTTCATTTTTGTATCAAAGTCTTTAATAATGTTAACTTTAATGTTACATTCCAAAGATAAAGTTTTTCTTTTCTTGTTTGATGCAGAAGAATCAGTTCTACTTCGTTTGGATGACATAGTAGAGTGTTAAGATTAATCATATTTGTTATTGTAAGCAGCGCTTAAGTTAGGCACCATTTGTTCATTTTTTTTTTTGTATGTCCGACCATCGAAAGACCGCTTGGGATCGAGTCTGTTTATAATTTGAAAGACAACTTTGTCAGTTGTATATACAAAAGGTAAATTGTTTACAAAATGAGTCTTTGTTTATTATCTGATAAATGTATACTTTTTCCTCAATTGTTCACAATTGCAGATGCCTTTTGTGTAAAATCCAAATTGAATGTATGTAAGCTAATAAATGTTCTCGTTAATCTTATCTTGCCTTTTGATTCATTCACAGTTACAAGAAATCACCACATAGTCTCTCTCAAGTCTCCATAGATATAACAAATACAGAAATAAATAGCACAAAATAAATTATAGCTATGCATCAATTCCACATGACATGTCCGAACATGTAAGCTGAACAATAGTGTGGGGGAAGTGAGTAATCAAGAGTTGCGTGGCACTCAAACAAAAGACAAATCAATGAGATTTGAAAATTGCATAACTCTGGGTTCACGTAAGTCGGGGTAGCATAAGTTGAGGTATTACTGTATTTTATTCTATTAAAATTTTCATCAATGTTTTATCTAAAGATGCTTGAGGTGAAAGATGAAAAGCATTAAAAGATGTTTTGTAATTTTCAGTCTAAATAAAGCATTGAAGATATATTTAAATGCACTTTTTGAAGATTATTCTTAGAACATAAATTTCTTTGTATTTTCATTCCAATGCTTTTATATTTTTTTACAAATCTTCAAAATTCAGTTTATTCTTTACTTATGAATAACCAATTTATATTCTAAGAGGACATATCTTTGGATTTTGACAACATTGTTATTGTTAGATTTTGATTGCCTAAGTGGTGCAGTATTTAAAATTATCATAAATGTTTCATTTTCCAGGCATTACAAGATTTTAATAAAGACTTCATTAAATTTAAAAGAATCCCTAAAATCCTTACCTTGTCTAAAAACAAACATTAAGAACTAAGTGTAGTTTTATTTAATAAATCTAACTTAAACTTATCTTATAAGTTTATTTCATATTTAAAATCTGAAGTAAAAATTTATAACTTATTTAGATTCTATAGTGCTTATATTGTCATTATATGAAAATATGCAATTCATAATCTTAATGATAAACATAAATAAAAATAATTTTCTGACTTCTAATATTACATCATAATTATAGATCCATATCTATGAAAATGATTTAAGAAATATACCTCTTATTACTCCCATTATCAATGGATGAGGTATAGCTGACTTAATGTGAAGAGACTGTTCATATAATTTCTAAAAAGAAAAAAATATTTAATTTAAATAATAATTTGAAATATATGTACTCATAAAACATATTCACACATTTTCCTTAAAAAGTAAAAGTCAAATAGCCAAAAATATTATCATATTCTATTATTTCAGCATTAAACAAACATAATGTCAAGTTTCTTAAAAATGTGATATCGTACTAAATAATAAATATATATCATACAGATAAAGTTACCTGCAACACTCCATATTTCTTATATAAAATACTTTTACTTAAAAGATGTAGAATATCATAACAACACAAAAATATAAATTTTCCTCCAAAAAATTTATATCTTAATTTTTCATATAAATAGAAAATGTTTAAGTGTTTTAAAAAATACACTATATTAATTCTTACGATAAAATGCATTTCAAAGATTAATAAAGTCTAATACAAGACTTTCAATACAATATTTTTTTCACAAAATATTCCATATTATATTTAAATGTTGTTAAAAAACAAAAGTTGGGTAATTTAAGTACAAATGGATATGGCTCAAACAATGATGTAATAGCTGAGATAACTGAAGTAATACATGGAAACAAGAAATCCCTTTTCATCTGAAGAAGTGGGAAATCACTCCAGAAGACTCTTTCTGGTTGCAGTTTTTGGCCGTCCTTCACGTGGATCATTTTCAATCAATGTACAACCACGTTTATGGGCAGTATACATTTGAATTTCTAATGCATATATTTCTAAGAGTTGAGTTCCTTTTTTAAGATCATCAGACCCATCATCAGTCTAAAATGTTAAAGAGAGAAATTTATTAATGCAAAAAAATTTTTTAAATATATTACAGAAGCAATTTCTTAAGAATTTCTCATATAGGTACAGTCAAAGCCTATTACTATGAGATCAGTTCATGCAAAGTCTACATTATTGCAAAGTAGATTTGTGATTCAGTGGACAAGGATACATATTTCAATGTTAATAACTTCAGTTAAAATGTGTCATAGTCCCATGAATTCAACATTTATACTATGTAATACAAAGCTCCTGTGACTTCAGGGAAGCCTTTAACTTCCCCAAAGTCACAGGAGCCAAAATGTTAGAACACACACACACTCCATGACTAGAAACAAACTTTTCAACTTTTAGTGTTGTAGCCAGCATTAATGTTATTGTGTCATAGGCATTGCAAGTTATCCCACACCAACAACTATTCACTCCAACTTGAAAAATTATACTTTCTCTTATAGTCAGCCCTATGTATGCTGTTACAATGATGAATGATTATTTAAGACAGTTGTTGTGCATTGGAAACTGGAAGTTAATATAATAGTAGTGAGAAACTTTTACTTAAATCTGTGGTTTTATGAAATATTAAAGCAATTAAAAATAATAACTAACAGAAATAATGAAAAAACTGAATTACAATTTTAAATACAGTAATTAGTTCATAATTTTAAAAATGAAAGTAAACTGTTTCTATTGAAATCCAAACAAATAAGTTATTTTTAAATTTGTAAAGTTTTACATATATCTAGCAACTGGATTCAACACAACACTAACAGTTCTGTATAATGCCCCCTAACTCTCTTTATATTTTACAGCATCTTTCCACATTGATTAAACCATCAATGCAGAAAATCAATCAGAAGAATGCCTTTCCAGTTCCAAAAAATCACAGCCATGATTTTTGTGGTTGAAGATGCTTGTTTGAATTTTTTTGCATTTGGTCATAGAATGTGATTGCCAAATTCAAGAGATTGCCATGTAGCCATTCAAGAGGAATATGAGACATGAATGTATATTGAGACACCCATGTTTCATCTCCCATAACTGTATAATCCAAGAATTCATCCCTACCATACAGTAGTAATCAAGAAATGTCCAAGAAGAAGCTATTCTCTTCTGTTTGTGTTCTGATGTCAACATTCTTGAGTCCCATCTCATGCAAATCTTATATTGAAGATGTTCCCTAACAATTTCATATACAACAGAATGAGAAACATTAAGGAAAGACACAAGAAGCTCATCAATCATTAATCTTCTGCTCTGTCAAATGTATGCATCAACAAGTTTTCAACTCTTCAGTGATGATAGGCTGGCATCTGGATCTTGCTTCATCATACATGTCCTTGCATTGTTCTCCCTTCATTATATAACCAACACCATTTAAGCACATTTGCCTCATTCACTGCACCATGCATTTCAAGCAGCCATTGATGAATTTCAGATGGGCAAATATTTTTGGGCTGCAATTTGAAAAAATTGTAGACCTATAAATTCCCACTGTTATCCATCCCTCTGTCCACCTGTATTTCCTTAATCTCAAGAATGGAGTTAGATAGATTTTCAAAAGTCAAGACTAGATATGGAAAGCTTAGAGGTAGGAGGCCCCAATTAACTATATACAAACTTCTAATACAAACCAGAAATCATGTTATTTCAATTTTAAAAATTTCCCCTGCAAGGTGGTAGATAGATGACTAGCACAACTCTATAGTTAAAGGAAAATTATGATGTACAGGGACTACTAATTTGAGGTGGTGGGCATATATTTTAAATTAAATAAATTAAAATATGATTAAAAATTGCAGCCTGGCACTGTGACAATGTCACAATAAATAATTGCTTGTTTCTCCTTGCTTTCTCTTCTCTTTATCATTTGTTAAACAGTCAGAGTTAAATTTCTCTTAATGGTAATATTTTTGTTGGTAAAACTCTCAAGGTATTTATAAAAACCTGCTTTCCAACTCAGTATATGAGGGCAAGGTGACAAGTTCTCAGCCTAGTAGTGAAAAAATGATGTTTTTATTTTAAAAAGGCATTTATTTCTCAATGTAGTCTCCCTTTAGTTCAATACACTTTGTCCAACGTTTTTCCAATAACTGGATTCCATTCCTGAAGTGCGAATCTGAAAGGTCTTCAAAATATCCATTTACTGCTGCTATCACCTCTTCACTTGACCCAAAATGTTTTCTAGCCAAAAATTTCTTAAGATTTGGGAATAGATGAAAGTCAGAGGGAACAAAATCTGGCAAGTAGGGAGGATGTTCCAACAATTCATACTTCAAATCTCTCAATTTTCCCATTGCCAAAGCACCTTCGTGAGCAGATGCATTGTCCTGGTGAAAGAGGATTTTTTTTTCTTTTGCAAACCAGGCCGTTTCTCTCTAATTTTTTCATCTAGCTGGTCAAGATGATGTGCATAGTATTCCCCATTAATTGTTTGACCCTTTGAGAGGTAGTCAATTAAAAGAATTCCCTTTGGAATCCCAAAAAACACTAGCCATAACCTTTTCAGCCAATGCAATTGTCTTTGTTTCTTTGGTGCAGAGCCACTGGGTTCTACCCACTACTTGGACTGTTGTTTTGACTCAGGTGTAAAGTGGTGAACCCATGCTTCATCCATCGTAACAAATCTGTGCAAAAAATCAATTGGATCCTTCTTAAAACAGCACAAACATTAATGAGAAAGTCAATTCCTCATTTGTTTGTGATCAGCATTTAACAAATGCAGCACCCATCTTTCACAAAGCTTTCTCATACTGAGTTCTTCATGTAAAATGTGCCGTGCCCTTTCTTCTGAGATGCCTACAGCCTTAGCTATCTCATATACCTTTAATCACTGATCATCTAGAACCATATTGTGTATCTTCTCGATATTTTCTTCGGTAGTTGCAGTTTTTGGCCGTCCTTCACATGGATCATTTTCAATCAATGTACAACCACGTTTAAATTCTACTGCCCATTATTTTACTGTTGATAACAAAGGTGCAGACTCCTTATACACTTTTACCAACTTTGGATAAGTTTCTGTTGGCAATAAACCATCCAAAACGAAGAATTTTATGACAGAACGATATTCGAGTTTATTCATTTTGTCAAAAACATACACAATGCTTACTTTAAATGGCCGTATAAAACAAACTATTTGTCTGATCAAATTCACATTTGGTATTTAGTTTTGCAACTGTGCCACCATAACAAAACAGTAATTTCATATATAGCAGTGCCATCTATGGGGTAGGCCGAGAACTTTTCACCCTGCCCTCACATAGCAAAAGACCAATCTTTGCTTATCTTCAGTGGTAATCATCTTTCTGTGATCCCTGTTTGCTGTATTTGCCAAAAGTTTATCAATATGAGATCTGTTAAGATCATACTTATTGAATAGTAAGGCCAATTAAAACAGTGTATCTCATTATTTCTCACAGATGTTCATAATTCTTTTTTCTTTTAGTTTAATATAAATTGGTTTCAATTTCCACTTTTTGTTTTGAAACTTTCTCATGCTTATCTTTTAATACCTGCTTCAACATATTAATTATATCTTTTTTTCTGTTCTTCATTTACCATTTTATAGTCCTCACTTAACTTTGGCATCACTTGTATGTACTTTGTGCTAGAGTAATTTTTTTTGTAATAGACAATAGATGGGAGTTGTTTTAGTACTGTCTAAGAACATTCTTTGTGATCAAAATGCTATTGAGTGTTCTTTCTGATATATATAATTTGCATTCTATTAAAGTTCAGCTAGAAACAGGATTGGAATTTTACATTAGCATTACTGTGACAAAGTTAGTACTGCAGGCATAATCTTTGGCAGATGAACAAGTTGCAACTGTAATCATCCTTTGTCAGTGCATTTTCTGACTATCTCATCTCTGAACACATCTACATAATATGTACCAGCCTTATTTGGTACTTCCAATTGAATAAGCTTTCATTCATCTAATACAGTGTTTCTCAACCTCTAACGAATCGTTGCCCCCTTCAATGTAGTATCGCCCCCTTCACTACAAAATTCCAATGCCGAGGACCAAGACTATATGCCAAATTCGTACTGCATTGAATAGACTAGTAACTAGTATAATGTTATTTGTTTAATTATTGTATGATATAACGAATAAAATATCTAATTATTATTAATATAATGTTTTACTATATTGCCCAGAAAATTGTTTTTTGCCCCCAAAATATAAATTGTTACTAATCGCCCCCTCAACATGGAAAAAACGCCCACATGGGGGCGATATCGCCCCCGTTGAGAAACACTGATCTAATAGAACATCAACTTCAATGTCAATTGAAAAAGCTCATGCAATGGTGATGACGTCTACAACCTAAACAGAGAAAAAGTGTAGGAAGTGAGCATGACATTTCATGGCCTAGAATATAATGGTCCTGTTTGTATGATATGCCTACAATCTAAAATATAATATGACTCAACATCCTTTAGGAATTTGTTTGCATGTATTTTTTCACATTCTTTGATGTAACTTTCTCTACACTTGAGACAGTAATTTTTTCAACAGATAACAGGATACTTAACTCTGCAAACAATTAATTTGCATCATGTCCAGATGTCCTTTTCAGTTCTTTTAGCATAGCAGACTTGCATACATGTCCAGCTAGAATTTGAACAAGCTAAACTATATTGGTGTACAACTTCTGTATCAGGAATTCATCATGCTGAAATTTTTCAATAAACTTTATGAATAATGCTGTTGATGACACAACAAAATATAGTTCTGCTTTCATAGCAGGAGTAATCAAAAGTTTTGCTATTTTCTGGTAGAAATACTTTGTAAAGTATCTCCAAAAAGACTAATCTTCCTGAATATAGACTGTTAAAAAACTACTTTGAAAAAAATAAACAAATAAGAAGAAAATAGACTACTACAATCCTGATAATATATTACAAGAGCCTCTAAAGTATTTAAAAGTTTAATATTTTTAAAAATGATTTTCATTGTAAAGTATGAACTATACTATTCTATAATACAGTATATATAAGGACCTTGAATAAGTTCTCGCTGTTCTTTAACAGATGGCGTTACCAGAACCACGTGTGTTTATTTTTAGATGGTGACGCATCTGTAAGGAAGTACAATAAGCGACCTTGAAATTCAGTATGTCATTTCACCGAAGTGTAAACAACTTATTTTTTCATTGTGTTAAACATGTCTAGTTTCGTGCCAAAAAAAGAGTATTTGCGGGGAATTTTATTGCACTATTTTATTCAAAAAAAATCTGCAGCTGAAGCACACAGAATTCTTGTTGAGACTTACGGCGACCATGCTCTGTCGGAAACAACATGCAGAGATTGGTTTAGACGCTTCAAAAATAATGATTTTGATGTTGAAGATAAAGAACGATCTGGTGCACCAAAAAAGTTTGAAGACAAGGAATTAGAGGCATTACTTCATGAAGACTCATGTCAGACGCTAGCTGAACTTGCAGAATCATTAGGAGTTGATCACACAACAGTTTCGAAACGTTTAAAAGGATTAGGAATGATTCAAAAGCAAGGACATTGGGTGCCGTACGAGTTGAAGCCGAGAGATGTCGAACGGCGTCTTTTCACATGTGAACAGCTGCTTCAACGGCAGAAAAGGAAAGGTTTTCTGCATCGTATCGTGACAGGTGACGAAAAATGGATACACTACGATAACCCTAAGCGTAGAAAATCGTGGGGTAAGCCCGGTCATGCATCAACATCGTCAGCAAGGCCGAATATCCATGGTTCGAAGCTTCTGCTCTGCATTTGGTGGGATCAGCTAAGTGTAGTTTATTACGAGCTGCTCAAACCAAACGAAACCATCACAGGAGATTGCTATCGACTACAATTGATGAGTTTGAGCCAAGCATTGAAGGAAAAACAGCTGCTATATGAGCAGAGACACGACAAAGTGATTTTGCAACATGACAATGCTCGGCCACATGTTGCACAACCGGTGAAAACGTACTTGGAAACGCTTAAATGGAAAGTCCTACCCCACCCGCCGTATTCACCAGACATCGCCCCTTCGGATTATCACTTGTTCCGATCGATGGCACATGGCCTGGCTGAGCAGCACTTCCATTCTTATAAAGATGCCAAAAAATGGGTTAATTCTTGGATAGCCTCAAAAGATGTGTCGTTTTTCAGACGTGGAATTCAAATGCTGCCAGAACGATGGGAGAAAGTAGTGGCTAGCAATGGACAATACTTTCAGTGACGTGTTTATTACAACTTTTTTAAAATAAAGTGTTAATTTTCACAAAAAAACAGCGAGAACTTATTCAAGGTCCTTATAGTATTTTATGATACTTAACTGTAACAAAATATGCACTATAACAATATAAACAATAATAAAATTAATTTAAAAAATTTATTGTGTTTTGTTTATTAGACAACCCATCTATATTTAAAATAGAAAAATAATGGAAGATGATGAATAATAATAAAATTACCTGACAACTTTGGTGTAATTGTTTCAAAATTTTTGCCAGTTTATTATATTCTCCTCTATCAAAATAAAGCTTTCCTAATTTAGTATTAGTTTTAAACCATAGTCTATCATTTTTAGCATCTTTTAAAGCTTCAAGTGTTGTTTCATAGAATTCTTGGAGTAGTTCCATCTGTTTCGAATATATTAAAAAAAAAAAAAGTGAAAAATTGATAAATTTGTAATTTTCATATAAATATGAGATGTAATAAAATAATTAAAGAAAAAATTAAAATTCACCTGTTTTGATGTTGAAATATAATCTAAAATTGAGTTAATGGACTTCTCAGAATAATTCCTCGTGACAGCACTTTTAATATAAGTTAGCAATTGTGTATAACGACTCATCATTTGGTCAAAATTTCCCTAAAATATAATACATACATTTAATTATTCATTATTAACATATTATAAATCTATTGATAACATACAGTTTACAGATTCTTCAAATACATTCAAGCATAATGAGAGAAGTTAAAATATTTTTAATGCAGATGTGATTTTAGAACTGACAGTTCAATCAAATTCCAAAATTAAATATTTTAAAATGTTTTTAAAATTGGCAATATTTCAAACATATAAAAAGAGTAAATTTTATTTGAGACACATTAAATAAAAATAAAAGACTAAGAATCAAACTCCAAAATTAAACAGATAATCTTAAAACTATGTTTAAAAAATCTAGAAATTTAAGAAAAAACTATGTTTAAAAAATCTAGAAATTTAAGAAATGTAAGAAAATCTAGAAATTTAAGAAAAGTACCAAAAATCATAAATGTTCTTAATTAATAAAACAAAAAATTCAGTCACATCAAAAGATAAAAGTTGCATCATAACAGATTAAAAATTAATATCAATTATTCTTAATCAGATATTAAATTAAAAGATTTCTGTTAGTTGCTCTCTCAATTTTTTAAATTTAACTTTTTTTTAACAATATTCAAAAATTCATACATTTGTCTTACTGTTTTTCTTTTTTTATGACTTTTTCAAAACTATATCACTTCTAATCAGTCAAAATTTATAATCCTACACTGTTCCCAAAGTGTGTGCTGCGGCATCCTCACAGGGGTGCCATGAAATGTTATAAAATTCTTATAATGTTAGAATTTAATGTATAGTACTTGTTAGAATTTTACGTAGGGCACCTTGGGAAAATCTGCATTTAGCAAGGGTGCCTAGAATCAAAACAGTTTGGAAACCACTGCTACACTGGAATCAATCTCAGTATAAATGACACGTTTATTTACATATCAAACTCAGTTCATTATATATTTTAGATAATAACACACAGAACCAATTACTAATATGTAGAAAACAAAAAAAAAAAAAAAAAAAAAAAAAAAAAAAAAAAAAAAAAAAAAAAAAAAAAAAAAAAAAAAAAAAAAAAAAAAAAAAAAAAAAAAAAAAAAAAAAAAAAAAAAAAAAAAAAAAAAAAAAAAAAAAAAAAAAAAAAAAAAAAAAAAAAAAAAAAAAAAAAAAAAAAAAAAAAAAAAAAAAAAAAAAAAAAAAAAAAAAAAAAAAAAAAAAAAAAAAAAAAAAAAAAAAAAAAAAAAAAAAAAAAAAAAAAAAAAAAAAAAAAAAAAAAAAAAAAAAAAAAAAAAAAAAAAAAAAAAAAAAAAAAAAAAAAAAAAAAAAAAAAAAAAAAAAAAAAAAAAAAAAAAAAAAAAAAAAAAAAAAAAAAAAAAAAAAAAAAAAAAAAAAAAAAAAAAAAAAAAAAAAAAAAAAAAAAAAAAAAAAAAAAAAAAAAAAAAAAAAAAAAAAAAAAAAAAAAAAAAAAAAAAAAAAAAAAAAAAAAAAAAAAAAAAAAAAAAAAAAAAAAAAAAAAAAAAAAAAAAAAAAAAAAAAAAAAAAAAAAAAAAAAAAAAAAAAAAAAAAAAAAAAAAAAAAAAAAAAAAAAAAAAAAAAAAAAAAAAAAAAAAAAAAAAAAAAAAAAAAAAAAAAAAAAAAAAAAAAAAAAAAAAAAAAAAAAAAAAAAAAAAAAAAAAAAAAAAAAAAAAAAAAAAAAAAAAAAAAAAAAAAAAAAAAAAAAAAAAAAAAAAAAAAAAAAAAAAAAAAAAAAAAAAAAAAAAAAAAAAAAAAAAAAAAAAAAAAAAAAAAAAAAAAAAAAAAAAAAAAAAAAAAAAAAAAAAAAAAAAAAAAAAAAAAAAAAAAAAAAAAAAAAAAAAAAAAAAAAAAAAAAAAAAAAAAAAAAAAAAAAAAAAAAAAAAAAAAAAAAAAAAAAAAAAAAAAAAAAAAAAAAAAAAAAAAAAAAAAAAAAAAAAAAAAAAAAAAAAAAAAAAAAAAAAAAAAAAAAAAAAAAAAAAAAAAAAAAAAAAAAAAAAAAAAAAAAAAAAAAAAAAAAAAAAAAAAAAAAAAAAAAAAAAAAAAAAAAAAAAAAAAAAAAAAAAAAAAAAAAAAAAAAAAAAAAAAAAAAAAAAAAAAAAAAAAAAAAAAAAAAAAAAAAAAAAAAAAAAAAAAAAAAAAAAAAAAAAAAAAAAAAAAAAAAAAAAAAAAAAAAAAAAAAAAAAAAAAAAAAAAAAAAAAAAAAAAAAAAAAAAAAAAAAAAAAAAAAAAAAAAAAAAAAAAAAAAAAAAAAAAAAAAAAAAAAAAAAAAAAAAAAAAAAAAAAAAAAAAAAAAAAAAAAAAAAAAAAAAAAAAAAAAAAAAAAAAAAAAAAAAAAAAAAAAAAAAAAAAAAAAAAAAAAAAAAAAAAAAAAAAAAAAAAAAAAAAAAAAAAAAAAAAAAAAAAAAAAAAAAAAAAAAAAAAAAAAAAAAAAAAAAAAAAAAAAAAAAAAAAAAAAAAAAAAAAAAAAAAAAAAAAAAAAAAAAAAAAAAAAAAAAAAAAAAAAAAAAAAAAAAAAAAAAAAAAAAAAAAAAAAAAAAAAAAAAAAAAAAAAAAAAAAAAAAAAAAAAAAAAAAAAAAAAAAAAAAAAAAAAAAAAAAAAAAAAAAAAAAAAAAAAAAAAAAAAAAAAAAAAAAAAAAAAAAAAAAAAAAAAAAAAAAAAAAAAAAAAAAAAAAAAAAAAAAAAAAAAAAAAAAAAAAAAAAAAAAAAAAAAAAAAAAAAAAAAAAAAAAAAAAAAAAAAAAAAAAAAAAAAAAAAAAAAAAAAAAAAAAAAAAAAAAAAAAAAAAAAAAAAAAAAAAAAAAAAAAAAAAAAAAAAAAAAAAAAAAAAAAAAAAAAAAAAAAAAAAAAAAAAAAAAAAAAAAAAAAAAAAAAAAAAAAAAAAAAAAAAAAAAAAAAAAAAAAAAAAAAAAAAAAAAAAAAAAAAAAAAAAAAAAAAAAAAAAAAAAAAAAAAAAAANACTACATGAAAATGAAAATTAATGAATACACTGTGTACAGTAATTTACCTGATAAGACAGACCTCAGAAAAATACTTTATGAGAGCTTTTATACTTTTATAAAGCTGTCTATAATGAAAATTAATTAACTAAGGATTTTTTTGCCCTGCCAGGGTGTGGCCGAGTTATCCGGAGTGCCGGGTTATTGAGAGCCGAGTTTTCGAGGTTCTACTGTATTAGAGTAAATAATGTTCCAAACTACTATTGTACATGTATATATGAATGATCAATCTATTTATATACATTGTCATGAATAGAATAAATGACAACTGTCTTAGAAACACAACTAATTTCTCTATCAAGAAAATTGATAAAACTAACTATTGGGTTGTTCAGAAAGTAATTTCATTTTTTTACCACCAGAGAGATTAGTTGTATATTTACCCACCAATTTCATTCTAAATCATACTGTCATTATATATTTTGACAGTTGACATTTCAAGGCTTATTTGTAAAAAATTTTGTTTGATTCTTTGCAATTTTTTTTTGGCATCCCATCAAATATGGAAAATCGAAAGCAGCATTTTCAACATATTTTGCTTTTTTATTACCGAAAAGGTAAGAATGCTGTTCAAGCAAGAAAAAAATTGTGAGATATGTATGGAGATGTGTTCACAGAATGACAATGTCAAAACTGGTTTGCAAAATTTCATTCTGGCAATTTTGATATTGAAGATGCACCACATTCTGAAAGGTCAGTTGAAGCTGATGAAGACAAAATAAAGGTATTAATTGAAGCAAACCACCAAATAACAGCACGAGAAATTGCTAAGAGATTAAATTTGTCGAATTCAACTGTTTATGATCACTCTAAATGATTTTATTTTATTTCAAAGCCCGATATATGGGTTCCACATGTTCTTAAAGAGATTTGCTCCATTGCAATGACATCTATGATTTGCTTCTCAAATGTCAAGAAAATGATCCATTTTGAAGCAAATCATAAGTGGTGTCAAAAAATGGATTGTTTATAACAATGTCAAATGCAATCAATCATGGAGTAGAAAAGATGCAGGATAAGCTATGGAATTTCTTCAGGCGCTATGGAATTTCCTATATGAATTCCTTAGCGCCTGAAGAAGAACCACATTAGGTTCGAAAACGTTTGCAAAGTCCTCTGTATTGGAGAAGAAGAACGCCGGTTACAGGCAGTGAAGTTGGGTAATTTAAGTACAAATGGATATGGCTCAAACAATGATGTAATAGCTGAGATAACTGAAGTAATACATGGAAACAAGAAATCCCTTTTCATCTGAAGAAGTGGGAAATCACTCCAGAAGACTCTTTCTGACAATGTTGAAAAAGTCCTGTGGTGATTGAATTATCCAGCATACTGTATGCTTAAGTGAAAACCTTGCAATGTTGGCATTCTCAATATCCTTAGACATATTTGATGTATTGACTTATAGGCTCTAGTAATGATTCCAGACTATGTGCTCATAAATATAAGCATATCTTCAATCAGGGATGGGCACATGCCAAAATTGCCAAATTTGTAATACAGAATTTTCTCACATGCCAACTGAAATTTTGAGGAGTATATTATAGATATATCAGGTCTAGTGGCTAGATGATGCTATAGGTAAGCTAGATTTAGCAGATCTAATACATTGGCAACTTTACTTGTAAATCAGTCTATCAGAGAGATAATGTCTTGGAAATATTCATAAGATGTTTGTTTTGTTATTGCATTTTTATTTTGTATCACTATGCAAAGATATTGAATATTTATTTTTTAATGTGAGCTCTGAGTTATATGCCAGAAAAAGTCATCAGTGTTTCACATTTGGCATGCGTGCTATGGGTTTCCATCCTACATGATTGTGGTTGTCATGGTAATTTTCAAGAAGTGCACTTTGTAAAGATTGGAATAACTACACGAAGGATGTTCAGTGCAGTATTAACTCCATCAGTATAAAACTCCAACAAAGATACAGAAATGTTGAAACTTATAGAAAAATTATTGATAATAGCATTGGTTTTGTTTAGTAGTTATCATATATAAACATCTTCCAAAACCGAATTCATTAGTATAAAGCCACAC